TTGTAAGCATCCACTTTACTTAACCGCAGCTCCAACCTTTTGTCTCCTTAGGTTAAGCAAGAATTCATTTCAAAAGACTTTATGTGTCACGCACGAACTAATAAACTAACTAACTAACTAACCTGCTTATCACTAGTAAACAAACAATTTTCTCTATCCTTATGCCATCTAGTCTCACGGTTATTGTTCATATTATATTTACAGTCCTATGTTTTTGTTTCTTTTTCCATAATTGTAAACACCATCTAAGCACTGTAATAACTGTTATTATCTCTTGTTTTTCTCCTGATCAAGCTATGTCAAGAGGAGAACATTAGATTCGTCACTCTATAACATGCTTAAAATTTCTATACTTATTATATTATTGTTATTATATCCTTTATTCCTAGAGGAACATAGGGCTTCAGCTGCGCGTCTCCATTGCTTTCTGTTTTCTGCCAACTTTTTCACCCCGCTCCAAGTCTGTCCACATGCTTTCATCTCCTCCTCACATGACCTCCTCCAAATCACCCTCTCACAGACGACCAACTTGCCGCTTTCCTTTCGGGATCCACTCGAGCAATGGCTTGTCTAGTGATGTCACTTACTTGATGGTTTCCTCAGAGTATGGCCAGCCAATCCATCTCCATTTATTCCTGCCTTTTTGTTTCACAATCGGTTCCTGGTTGGTTCGCTCCCACAGATCTTTGTTGCTGATCTTTTCTGGCTGGCCATCTGATCTTGAGTAGCATTGAGCGAAGACAACTGTCGATGAAGGTCTGTAGTTTGTTTGAGATGCTCTTTATGACGCGCTGGCCAAGTCTCTGATCCATCGTATAGTGATTAGCACTGACTGACTTCACATTGGTGTTGAAAATCCGCATGTTATTTTTGATGGTGAGTGCTGTTGACCTCCACATAGACTTGAGAGTAATGAAAGCTTGTCTTGATTTCCGATTCTGGCTTTGATATCCTCGTCAGTTCCGTCCGCCTGTAGTTGAAACGATGCATCCCACGTAGGTAGGTAAAGGAGGTTGTTTCTTTCAGGTTCCTCCCATTTATGCTGGCTGATTGTTGTCCATTGATGTTGTTGTTGTTGCTGTTGGTGTTGGCCAGGAATCTTCAACACCTCTGTTTTATCTATGTTCACTTGAATCGAAGTCCTATCTTCTGTTGATTCTTCTTCTGCCAGCTTGTTGCTTTTTACTTGCATATCTTCCAGTTTGTGGGAAATCAGACATATATATGTTATCGGCGAAGTCCAGATCCTCCAAGTTCTATTTTTGTGTGAGTCCATTTTATGCCTGTTTCCTAATTGCCCGCCGTTGTCTGTCTCATAATCCAATCTACTGCAATCAGGAAGATCATTGTTGATTGTAGGCAGCCTTGTATCACTGTATTCATAATATTGTTTGAAACAAACCCACTGTTATTATTACCATTATTATTATTATTAATATTATTATAATAAAGGTTCTCTTTTGTATTTTTCAATGATTGAAAAACAAAACGAAATTGTTGTTTTTACTGACGTTTCGCTATTTAGTGCTAATAGCTTTATCAAAGTACTATTAAACCGGAATTTACAAAATCCATTCAGCATATATATAACAAAGAGTTAGGGGGTGAGAAAAAATATAGACTTAGTTCAACTTGAAAGGACATATTGAAGGTCAAAATAACAGTGAAGATCACTCAAACCAAATATCAAAGGTAATAGTATATCTGTTATTATACCAAAACAAAGTTAACTAATTTGATCATCGTTTGTTAGTCTGGGGTCATTTTTGGTTGTCAAGTTGGTGAACTGGTAAAGATAACAAAAATCAAGTGTAGATTGTGCAATACTTGATCATCGTTCGTCAGTATCAAACATTACTGAAACTCTCAAGCAAAACAACTACCCAAGGGACTTCATCAACAGAATCAACACAGACATTAAGTATGGTCGAAAACGCATTCTGAAAACATAGACATCAACAGTCGTCATTCCATATAGAGCAGAGACGTCAGACGATATCAGAAGAGTACTCAATCGACTCGACATTAGAGTTTTCTTCAAAACATCGGACACACTTCAAAGCAACCTTGTCCATAAAAAAGACCAAATCCCGAAAGATTCTCTGCCTAATTGTGTCCATAAAATAAAATGCTTGGAATGTGATGCGATCTACATCGGACAAACATCGCAAGAAATCAAAACCAGAAGAAACGAACACCACAGAGCATCTCTTCGACCACCAAGAAATCCAATTGAACTAGAAAAACTTCAAAAATCATCAGCTATAGAATCAGGCCACAAAATTGATTTTTTCACAATATTGAAATAATCCAGAAAAACTTCAGAAGCACTTCATATCAAGTGGAATCCAAATTGCCTGAATAGGAATGATGGATTAAAACAGAATCTGACCTGGCTACAACACCCCTCTCCCCGATGAAGTGGCAAAATCAACACAAATGTGATAAGTAAGTCCACTATGTAAACACACACTACATTCATAATTCTACACACTGATAAAATCCAACAATTTACACTTGATTTTGTTATCTTTACCAGTTCATCAACTTGACAACCAAAAATGACCCCAGACTAACAAACGATGATCAAATTAGTTAACTTTGTTTTGATATAATAACAGATATACTATTACCTTTGATATTTGGTTTGAGCGATCTTCACTGTTACTTTGACTTTCAATATGTCCTTTCAAGTTGAAATAAGTCTATATTTTTTCTCACCGGCTAACTCCTTGTTATATATATGCTGAGATTTTGTAAATTCCGGTTTAATAGTACTTTGATAAAGCTATTAGCACTAAATAGCGAAACGTCAGTAAAACAACAATATCGTTTTGTTTTTCAATCATTGAAAAATACAAAAGAGAACCTTTATTATAATGACTATCATATACCACCCAATGCCTAAATTTTTTCAAACCGTTAAAAGTGAACTTGGTTTGGACATATATAATAATATTATTATAGTTTATTATTCTCATTTTATACTTTGCATAGTTTTGACATTAATTCCTACTCTAAATGTGGAAAAATTCCTGCAGTCGACTTAATTTATATTGAGTAAATTAGATACAATAATTGTGACAAGCGTTATTGATATAAGTATAAAACTTGAGCACTGTGATAGTAGAGTATAACTCCATCATAGATAAGATTTTATTTTGATAAAGTGTCACAGTGTTGTTATATACAGTAATATTAACTGATTTATTATTATTATTATTATATCCTTTAATTCCTAGAAGAACTTAGGGCTTCAGCTACGCATCTCCATTGCCGTCTGTTTTCTGCTAACTTTTTCACTCCGCTCCAAGTCTGCCCACATGCTTTCATCTCTTCTTCACATGACCTCCTCCAAGTCACCCTTGCATTGACGACCAACTCGCCGATTCCCTTTCGGGTTCCACTCGAGCGCTGGCCTGTCTAGTGATGTCACTTGATGGTTTCCCCAGCGTGTGGCCAATCCATCTCTATTTCTTCCTGCCTTTTTGTTTCACAATCGGTTCGTGGTTGGTTCATTGCCAGAGATCCCTGTTGGTGATCTTTTCTGGCCGGCCATCTGATCTTGAGTAGCATTGAGCGAAGACAACTGTTGAGGAAGGTCTGAAGTTTGTTTGAGATGATCTTTATGACGCGTTGGCCAAGTCTCTGATCCGTTTCGAGTACAAATTATTGTGACAAATACTCAGAATTCCCTGCTTTATTTTAAGTACTGTTTGTTTTCGAATAAAACAGATCACCATCATTATTATCATTATCAAAAGAAGAAAAAGGAAAGGTTAAGGATGAGGCTGACCACTCCCAACCCCCCCCTATGCATCGGTGGCACAGTGGTTAGGACTCTCGCCAACCATGCACATGATCCGAGGTTCGATTCCCTGCTGACGCACACCTGATATCTATGGTCGGCCAGCAAAATTTGGACTATCGATATCACATGCTGAAAATTCCATACTTTTACCAAAAACAAAATACAGTGTGGAATCAAGCTGTAATCAAAAAACACCACTAACGCTAATTCCATATACATACATCACACAGTCAGTGAAACAAGCAGTATTATTACCGGATGACAGGGTTTCAAACACAATCTATTATTGTTCATAATCATCTCATCAATTAGACTCGCACGACTTCAAAACTTGACTTTCATAGTTTTCTTCGTTCTCTCTCTCTCTCTCCTGTTCGTCGTCGTTGGGATAGTAGAATTTTCTAGATGTCCTGGTAGGTCAGGTGTTAATTCATTCCTATCACACGTATTCCCTGTCAACTGATTCGATAAACAAAGCTTCCGCTGTTATCAATCTCTCCCTCCCGCCACTGTGTGACATTCGATTTTAAAACTGTCATCCTATCCCATCCATCCTATTGCATGGTTTTGGGTAGTTGCATGTAATGCTATGGCTGAACTATTCTCTAGATTTCTTATCTTATTAGTGTCAACTAATCTAGATTTTACTGCAAGGATTCTAAGCTTCTCCGCTAACCTGACTGACTGCACCTGTTCTACTAGTTTGACCTATGTATTTGACCTGACAATCATTGCAGGTGGGGTATTAGATAAGCTGAATTATTTTGTTGTAAAGGCTCCACAGAATTGATCGTTTACCCGACAAAGTGTGTTTCTAATTGAGTTTATGGTTGGTTTGAACTCCAGTCACCTTTATTCCTGCCTTGTTAAGAATTTTGCGTAAGGTGGTTTCCGAGGTTCTTCCCTTGTATAGAATTAGAATCGTTTGTCGTGAGGAACACGTGTCATAGTCATCTCAGTTGATTAAACTTCACAATCTGACCAAGTGACTTTCTCTCCTTGCCTAACCTCAGCATTTATTGCCTATAACCATTCAACCTGGAAGATAGAATACCAAAATCTCTTTGGTCGAAGCCAGTTACTTACTTACTTACCTACTTATCTTCTACTTTCATTGGTTATGTCTCAAAGTCATTTATAAAAGTTTTTAACAATTATTTTTCTTTGAATGTCATTTCCATTCATATAGGTCCTCTTACTGGTGCATTGGTAAATCGATTCGACTATCGTATTGTTGCATCAGTTGGTTCAATAATCACCACATTGTGCTTTCTAATATGTGCTTTATTCATACATAATATATTGACATTCACCATTGTCTTTGGTATAATTGGAGGTGAGCACATTTCAATCAAGTTGTATTATAGTCGACTTATTTATTTCTTATGTCGTGAATTTGTATTAATTTTATATTTTAAAGTTATTTTGAAAGAATGTTCTCTAGATTCGAGGCTAAGAGGCGATACAATCATGATTCATTAACTGACTGAGGAGAATTCAATTATATTCAGATGAGAAGTCCAGAAAAGGACGAAACTCATATTATAAATTCTGCTGTTAGCCATCCCGACCGAAAGCTGCTACCTTGACGTGGTGGTCGGGCTTGAACACCGCAATGACCTAATCAAGCTATACTGGCTGAGACTTATGTCTCTTGAGGTTCTACCATGCCAGGCAGGTTGTTTGGATAGCGGTTAAACAAAAAGCAGCTACCCAATCCAACATCATGTCCAATACAAAATTACAAAATTTCATGCCGGATCGGCCGTGGCCCGGATTAACAACGACCGCGCTTCCTGCTGCCGTGTCACAGGGCGGGAGTGATAAATCTGCTACTGAGACACACCAAACAAGAAGAACGAACAAAAACAGGCCGCGTGTGACCGGCCTCAAGCAGTTGTCCCCTGGGCTCTGCGGTCACGCAACCAACTTCCACGGTGTGGGCAGCCGGGAAGTAACAATCGCCCTCACAATCCGAAATGCACACGAAACCTCTCTATTACTCACTCATCTTTGTCTTCATCTTCATCTCTATCATCTTGCCTTCCTTCCACTGATGCAACTCCTCGACTTGATAGCTCTCCACTTCCTCTCCACTCTGCGTCCACTAAAAACGATGGAAGCCAAAAAACCACCACCGACAGCCTCTTAAAGCCGCGCCACCAATTTCATATAGGAGCTCTTAATGTTAGGACACTTTGCCAAATAGGACAACAAGCATCACTAGCCAAGACCCTGGCATCACGAGCCATTGATGTATGCTGTGTTTCAGAAACACGCATACAAGACCCAAGTGTGGTTATTCACCTAACCCCACCTGGCCAACAGGTTGAATCTGCAAAATTCACCTTGAGGGTGTCAGGAGATGCCACAGCTAGTTCACGAGGATTAGCTGGCGTAGGGATAGCTTTGAGTACTAGGGCAGAAAAGACATTGCTTGACTGGATCCCGGTAGATAGCCGAATGTGTGCTGTCCGCCTGAACGGATCAGTAAGAAGGAGGAAGGACTGCACTACTCGCCGATGCCTTTTCGTAATCTCCGCCTACGCCCCCACTGACTGCAGTTCAGATGAAACGAAGGATGAGTTCTACCAAAAGCTGTCTAGTTTGGTGAGAAAGGCTAAACGCTCAGACATAGTCGTTCTAGCTGGTGACTTTAACGCTCAAGTAGGGAAATTGTGTCAATCTGAGAAGGATGTCGGTGGCACCTATGGAGTTCCGTGCCAGCGAACCGACAACGGTGACCGTCTCCTACAGTTCTGCTCTGATAATCATTTGTTTCTTGTAAGCACTAACTTCAAACACAAGGAGAGACACTGTTTGACTTGGAGACCCCCTTCATCAAACCAACGCTGGACACAAATAGACCACATAGCAATAAGCTATCGTTGGCGTGGGTCGGTAGGAGATTGTCGCTCCTTCTGGAACACGTGCGTAGATACCGACCATGCACTGGTCCGCGCTCGGGTGTGCTTACGACTGAACGGACGTAGGAAACAGCTGGCGGTAAAACCATCACGTCCCCAGCTCGATCAGGAAACTAAATCCGTATTTCAGGAAGAACTAGCTAAACACATATCTGTGTTCGACAGCTGTGCTCACCCTGAAGAAGCTTGGAAAAATATCCAGGCAGCCATAGATACAGCTGTAAAAGCTGTGAATAAGGTAAACCCAAAGGTGAGTAAAAACCACTGGATCTCCACCGCCTCATCCGAACTGATAGATGCTAGAAGACTTATTCCGGCGAGCTCCGAATTCAATGAGGAGCGAAAGCTGCACAAGAGGAAACTTACGAAAAGTCTCCGCAAGGACCGTGAACAGTGGTGGGCGACAAAAGCCAAAGAGATGGAGAAAGCTTTGAGGATAGGCAACACCAGGCAACTCTTTGGACTCATCAGGGAAACGGGTGGGAGAAGACAAATCATTAGTGAGACAATCTCGGAAAAAAATGGCACTATAATTAGCTCCCAGGATAGACGACTGGATCGTTGGAAAGAGCATTATGAGGAGCAGTTTAATTTGCCCACAGCCACGCTCAACCTTCCGAGCATCCAACACCTCCCTGAATGGGATATAGACACAGGTCCTCCGTCACTAACTGAGGTTACTAAAGCTGTCACCAATCTGAAACTAGGCAAAGCAGCGGGACCTGATGGAATGACTCCAGAGGTATTTAAGTACGGTGGAGACAGCTTACTGTCCGGATTAACTGAGGTACTAGGCAGCGTCTGGGAATCAGAAGAAGTCCCATCGGGTTGGTGTAAGTCACTGATTATCCCCATATACAAGAAGGGAGACAAGTCTTCCTGTGATAATCACAGAGGGATTAGCTTGACTAATATAGTATCTAAAGTCTTAGGCTCAATAATCATGCGTAGACTGAGTGGTGCTCGGGAAGCACAAACACGAGAGAGCCAGGCAGGCTTTAGACCAGGAAGAGGGTGTATTGATCATATCTTCACCCTCCGACAGATTCTAGAACATAGGCATTCCTACCGGCGTCCAACAGTCATTATATTTCTTGACCTAAAGGCAGCATTCGACTCTGTCGATCGGGAAGTTCTCTGGAGATGCTTGGCTGTAAAGGGAATTCCAAGAAAATATATTGCACTGATTAAGGCACTCTACTCGTACTCATACAGCCAGGTGAGGGCTTACGGCGAGCTGTCATCTGAACTGATGACGACCAGTGGTGTCCGTCAAGGATGCCCATTATCTCCTTTTCTATTCAACTTCATCATAGATGTGTTAATGGACTTAACCCTAGGTGACTTCAGCGATTCAGGGATTGACTTGCTACCTGGGAATAATCTCGTTGACTTGGAATATGCAGACGATATAGTCCTTCTAGGCGAAGACGCTGACGAAATGCAGAGTCTTCTAAACACCTTGAACCGCAATCTACGAATGTTTGGCATGCGATTCGCTCCCGCCAAATGCAAGATGATGTTACAGGACTGGACTACATCGACGCCTAGTTTAAAAATAGGAAGTGAAGTGGTAGAGCACGTTGACCGCTTCACTTATTTGGGAAGTACCATCAGCCCCAACGGGCTGATCTCTGACGAAATCTCAGCACGAATACAAGGGGCTCGTTTCGCATTTGTTAGTTTACGCCGACTCTGGCGTAGACGAGATGTTCGACTATCGACCAAAGGGCGGGTGTACTGCTCATCAGTCCGCTCCGTCCTCCTTTATGGTTGTGAGACCTGGCCACTGAGAGTGGAAGACATGAAAAGACTAGCTGTCTTTGATCATAGGTGCCTGCGTTCTATTTCCCGTGTAAAGTGGCATAATAAGGTGAGCAACATGGAGGTTAGGCGTAGAGTTCTAGGTAAACAGGGGAAATCAATCGACGAAGTCGTGAAGCTACAAAGACTGAGATGGTTAGGACATGTGTTACGTATGCCAAGCCATCGCCTCCCTCGACGAGCAATGTTAGCGGATATAGGGTCAGGCTGGAAAAAAGCTAGCGGCGGTCAAACAAAAACTTGGCATCAGTCAATGAAATCCACAACAGTTGGTCTAAGCCACGTAGGAAGGTGTAGACTTCCAGGCTGGGGTCCTCGGGACGGTAAAAATCTATGGTTGGAAACAATTGGTGACATGGCTCAAAATCGTTCTCAGTGGCGCAGATGCATCCACTCCCTGTGACTTATGATCTTCAATGAAACTGTTTTGTATTTCTTTATTACTCCTTTGTCTCACACCTCTGCTCACTGTTTCTATTATGCTTTTCTTGTACTTTCTTCTCTTGCTTCGCGTGCTACACGGAATGTGGCGACTTGAACTTCCGCACATTTGTGCAAAGTTCTATGTCGAAAACAGACAGACAGACAGACTTACCAACTAAGAACATAGTTTAAATTTGTTATGACTAGTCGACTGCGTCGGTGGCACAGCGGTTAGGATGCTCGCCGACCATGTATATAGGGCGGGGTTCGATCTCAGGCCACGGACGCACTCCTTTACCTTGCTAAACCAGTAGTGAGACTGGTAAAGAGGAAAGGTTGGACATGAGGCTTAGCAACCCCAACCCTTAAAATAAACACTAATACAGAAATTTCAAGCCTCTAGCTGGGAAGGTGAAGGAAAACAAAAGTCGACTGTCTGATTGTAGTCCTTCGGATGCTAAGAAACAATGACTGTCTAACCATGTGTAGATGAAGAGGTGCTCCAGAGGAGGAACAAACATGAGAGAACCAGGCAGGCTTTAGATCAGGAAGAGGACGTATTGGTCATCTCTTAGCCTTTCAACAGATTCTGGGACAAAGGCATAACTACTGGGATCCGACAACCGTCATATTTCTTGATCTAAAAGCGGCATTTGATCCCATCAACTGAGAGCTACTATAGCGATGTTTGGCTGTGAAGGGAATCCTGAGAAAATACATCGCACTGATCAAGACACTCTACTTGAACTCGTGTAACGAGCCATACAGAACGGAGAGTTGTCGTCTGAAGTGGGGATAAGTACTGGTGTCCATCCGGGGTGCTCACTGTCCCCATTTCTGTTTAATTTCATCGTAAGCGTACTAATGGATTAAACCCTAACTGACTCCAGCGACTCAGAGATTGGCTTGTTACAACCAGGGAATAAACTCGTTGAATTATAATATGGAGATGCTATGGTCCTTCTGGGTGAAAACGCCGACAAAATGCTAAGTCTTCTTAACACATTAAGGTGCAGCAATCTTCGAGTATTCGTAATGCGATATAATGAAAGATAATGCTACAGGAATGGACTAAATTTACTCTTTGTCTGAAGATAGGGAAGAGTGAAGTGGAAGGGCCTGTTGACAACGTCAACTATTGGGGAAGTTGTATCAGCCAGCTTCAACGGGTTGATCTCTGACTAAATCTCAACACGAATATACAAGGCTCGTTTGGCATGTGGCAACTTACGCCAACTCTGGCTTAGTAGATGCGATATCTGGCTGGCTGTCGACCGAGGACGTGTGTACTGTTCTGCAGCAGTTCTCTCTGTCCTCTTTTATGGCTGTGATTGAAACATGGCCGTTAAAAAGGCCAGCTGTCTTTGATCACAGGTGCCTGCATTCTATCTCCCGTATTAGCCGGTAGGTGTAATTAGGTGAGGAATATTGAAGTTAGGCGTGAGTTGAGTGCAAGGTAAGGAGGGTAAGTTACATCGACTGAGTGTGGTGGCATTCATCCATTGCCGTCGATCGCCTACCTGGATGGTGAATGTTAGTTGACTGACATAGGATTAATCAGGTTGGCAAAGAGCTAGCTAGTGTTTTGTCAAACCAAAACATGGCGTCATCAGTCATTGAAATCCACAAAAGTTTGTTTAAGCCAACTATCCACGTAGGGAATGATAGACTTCTTGATTGGCTGAGGTTCTCAGGAGGATAAGAACCAATGGCTGGAGTTAATGGTTGATGTCAATGGATGGAGCAGATTCATTCACTCTTTATAGTTTATAATTTCCAATATCTGTTTACTCTTCTGTCTTGTTTCATATGGTACGTGGAGTGTGGCAACTCGAACTGAAGCAAGTTGGTACACAGTTTTGCATTGAAACTAGCCAGTCAGCTGCATGAAAAAGATGTGGGCGATATCCTTGATCGTACTTTAAATATAACACTCTGAATAAAGTCTCTACTAATGCCGTATGACCAGAAGTAATACTATGCTCCAGAATTGAAATTTCGAGTATTCTATGTTCTCCTTATGATAACCATGTTATGAAGTGTCTATGAGCATGTCCACGCAATAAATTTCCTGATGGTACAGTCTATATTACTTAGCTTCACAGGAGCAGATGAATTGGCAAAAAAATACACACTGAAAAAGTTGCCAAAAATCGTGATTTTGTCTTTGATGATGATGTTTTGGCGAATAAGAGCATGTGTGTAGAAAAGGTGAGAGAGAGATGTAGAGATATGTAGGAGAGAACCTGTGCTATAAATTTCTGTTGACAAGCAAGAACCTCACCAGTTCTATTCCCCCTTGAATTTTAGTAAACATTATATCGGCGAAGTTAAACTTTCGACACCACTAACTACCAACCAGCGAATTATCCAATGAGATTCACGAACGACGTCGAATTATCCAATGAGGTTCACGAATGTAGTTCAATGTTGTATAGCGCTTGGTTCATTTCGAATCCATGCCCTTACAAGGTTACGGTTGCAATTCGAGGAGGACAGTGTTTTCCGGTATTGTTTGGATTTAGGGTTGCTCTGGAAGGAGCGGACGTGTTCGTGTGGTGGTATCATGACTTTGAAAAGCTATAGCAGATCAACTGATGGATTTGTTCGTCGTTGTGCTATATGTTTGAAGCGTGTTAGCATTAGAGAGTTAAGCTGATAATTTTAATATTTCGTAGGGACTTATTTTTCGCTAGGTCGCATCTCTCCCTAACCCAGATTTCGTATATCTGAAACTACTGGGTATTGAAACAGCCGGTGAGAGCAGCAGCTGCCAATACGGAGAATAGCCTCGTCTCAACAGTTCAGTGGTACCAGCATTGCAGAGACATTGCTTCGTGGAAAATAGAGAAATCACTTCTTAGCTGGGTGGAGAAGACGTTATCGTGCATGTTGATGAAACTGTGCTGGTGAAAAATCAATACAGCCGTGGTCGCCAGCGAAAGGGATTCGTCGAACGGATAGCTAACAGAAAAGCAACCACTTTAATACCTATTATAACGAGACTTGTTAAATGGGGGTCAATTATACACACAGACGAGTGGAAAGGTTATAATTCGCTGTCATCTCTGGGGTATATTCACCACAGAGTGAACCATTCAGGTGATGCCGTTACGAGGACTCATACGAATTCCATTGAAGGGTTTTGGGGCCACTTGAAAAACAGGATAAGGGTTATAAATTGATCTCAAAAGGATCTCATCTATAGTCATTTAGATGAATATCTGTACAGGATGTGGTTTAACTTCTCCATTGAAAGTCCCATGCTAAACTGGGAGATGTTTCTCTCACATGTTCGAGAAAGATACCCCTTGTAACCGTTTTATCCTTTTTTTATGCTTTTTTTTATAAATATACGTTTCCATTCATCATATATCCCTCTTTAATGTGAATGGTCCGTTCAAGGTCGTTTGCTGATTGGCTGTTAGTGGTGTCGAAAGTTTAACTTTGCCATTATATCATATATTTTTTACATTGATAATATCCTCTCCTTTTTTGTTCTTATTTTATTCTTTACCTACTCCACCGCACCTCTTACTTTGCCTCCCAACTCCCTATTTTAGGCATTGGCTGTAGTTTAATCTACTTACCAGCTATTACAGTCATTGGACATTGGTTTGAAGAACATCGTGCTTTTATTGTCGGCATGGTAATGTGTGGTGGATGTTTAGGCTTTGGTTTATTATCAATCATTACACCGTGTTTAGCTGAACATTTCACATGGCGTGGTTGTCTTATTCTACTCGCTGGATTATTTAGTCAAACATTAGTAAGTGAAATGAAATTTTTCTCTATCGTGGGTTTGTGTTTACCTTTCTGTTAAATTTTTTAGTTTATAAGAAAGAATAGTGTGTATTGTGTATTGATTTTTCCAACGATTTGATTGGTTCATGAATAATTCCCATTCGAACATTAATGGACAAAAGATAAGTAGTTCAGCGAAGAGTCTCTTTTCGGCGGCCAATTCATTTTCATAGCTGTACAATCGCAAATATATATGGTTATTTTGTGTGTGTGTGTGTATACATTAAATTTGTCAAACGAAAATACAATTAGTAAGTTCAGATGAATTGGATGTTGATAAGAGGATAGTAACAAAAGTGATGAGTTGTCATAAATGATTGTTAAATAAGAGTTACGTAATAGCATGAATAGTTTGATGAATGAGTTGTGCTCAGGGTGTACATGGAAACAAAATAATATACAGAATTACACAAGGGTTTTAAGTTAGAAAAATAAGCATACAAACAGAAGTAAGGTCAAATCAAACAAACAAAGAAAAGTTAGGTCAAATCAACGGAGTTGTTACCATGCGAGTAGAAGTGGTTGGATAATTTTGTTTTGTATGCATAGTTCTGGTTCCACCAACTGAATGGCTAGGGCTTCTACGATGCAAAGAAGACGGAATCGTACTGTTTTTGGAAGGTTGTTCTTCACTCTGTAGATTACTTTGAAGCAGGAGGCGTTTGTTGAGATGGAATGACCAGTGTTGACGAGATGTTGGATTATTGCACTCCTTATACGGCCATTGTTCCCTTTCTGTAGCCACGCTGGATAGTGTTCTTTGACCCTTTTTGACAGGATACGCGTTGAAAGACCGATGTACCTGGCTCCACAGCAACAGGTGAACTGATATATACACATAGAAATGGTCATGTGCGGAATCTTGTCCTTTGGGCTTCTGTAGACCAGCGGGCGACTGGAGAACACTAATCTTAGTGTTGCCACAGGGAAAGTTCTTCCTAAAGAAGTGTAAATTCTCCTTCTGAGGATGTCACTAAGTAGGTCTCCTTTGAAGTCCAGGTTCATATATAGTATCTTTTTAGGCACGGATGGCGTCTCTTGCTTTTGGATTTTGTGTTTGATGTTTTTGTGTACGAATCTTGATGGGTAGCCATCTTGTATGAAGATTTCTCTCCGGAAGTTAAGTTCTTCTTCCATGGTGTCAGAGCTGCAGATGCGTCTGACGCGAGTGGCAAAGGATTTAATTAGGTCTCTTTTCCGACTGATTAGTACCCAGCTGTAGAAGCTTGTCAGTTGACCGTTCCATGTGGGTTTCCTATGGATTGACCTTCTTAAAGTTCCGTCATCTCTCCTTGTAAGCTCAACATCAAGAAAAGGGATTTTAGATTCATTTTCAGTTTCTAGAGTGAACTTTGTGGCTGGATGGCATTTGTTGAATATTTGCAGTAATTGATTGAGATCGTGATCGTCATCACAGATGATGAAGATGTCGTCCACATATCTAACGTACTGGTTACTGGTTTGATCACGAGTTGACACCAGTTAGAGAACTATTGGAGAATTTGCAAGGAAGGATTACTGAACAATTGTTTCGTCAGCCTAGTTTAGGACTGACTCTTTAGCAGTAAACACCCATTAGAGTTGGAAACCTTTGATGTTGGAAGCTCCTGAGTTCGAAATTCGGTATTACACTTTTTGGGGAAAAAAACATCCCATTTTGGCTGATTTCTTTCTAAGTAAGCTAGAAAATGGACCTTTGAACAACCTTACGAGAAAGTTCTCATTTTATTGCCGTTATATAGGTGACACCTTTTATTCATTGTGATAATGATTCGGATAGGATTACATTCAATGAAGTAAGTACATTCGGTTATGAAATTCACGTGATATGAGGAATCAAAAACAGAATTGCCTTCCTAGATGTCCCCCTTACAAGAAAGCTAAATATTAGCATGAAAAGAAATTTGCATAGGAAAAGTACTTCGACAGGATAATATACACACATTTTCACAGCTTCGTTCCTATCAAGTACAAAGGAAATTTAGTGAAGACCCTCAGCCACACAGAGTTAGAGCTATATGCTCAGAAGAAGTAATTCACGATGAATTAAGCATTGTGTATGATACTTTGATCGAAAATAGCTATCCCGAAAAATTTATCAAGAATCACATGACAAAGAAAGCAGAAAATGACTACTCACTATCCGTAAACAAGAAGCCTCTTTTTATACAACTGCAATTCAAAGGCGATATACCAAGTGAAGTAATTACGAAAAATTTAATCATGAGCTGACATCAGTTAGAGAACCACTGGAAAACCTGGGAGTACTGGACAGCTGTTTCGTCAGCCTAGTTTGGGACTCTTCAGCAGTACGCACCCACCAGGATTCGAACCCAGGACCTTCTGGTTACAAGGTCCTGGGTTCGAATCCTGGTGGGTGCGTACTGCTGAAGAGTCCCAAACTAGGCTGACGAAACAGCTGTCCAGTACTCCCAGGTTTTCCAGTGGTTCTCTAACTGATGTCAGCTCATGATTAAATCCTCCATGCAATCAAACAAAATCCCTACAAAACCAATACTTGAAAATTACGAAGAAATTAAGGAAATCAGTTCAAAGAACTTTTAACGCTGGCGAACTACTCAACCGATGGTGATTCCTCAACTGAAAGATGAAGTACCTAGACTAGTCACTTCTAATTGCATCTACCAATTCAAATGTGCTCGTGGTGGAGCGAGTTATATTGGCCGTTGCTCTAGAAACTTGATATTTTGCGCTCGCTCGAGAACATCTCCCACTATGGCTAAGTAAAGGTGTAGTGAAAACCATTAATAGCTCGGTATTGGACCATCTGTTGCAAATCTCCCACAAAGCCAACCAGCGTGGAAGAATCCTTCTCTATCATCTACCTAGTACCTAATAAACTGACAAAAACATCGAAGCATTGCATGCTCCAAACAGTAGAGGCTTTCGCAATTCGCCTCAAACAACCAGTGCTCTCTGTTCAAAAGAAGCAAGTCCAGCGACTACTACTGCCGTGGCCAGCCTTCAGTAGAGACTATAAATTCATGAATTTGTAATATTATCTTTCCTTATTTTTCTGAAATTCAGTGTGTAGTGTTATGTTGATGCTATTGAAGTGTAATCTGATCCATTCACACTAATTCATTCATTCACTAATATATATAACTGTAGAGCCTGATGATGAAGAGGTTATTTATGTATTGCTGAGGTGAATTCAGAATTCGTTGTGAAATTTCGCACTTTGAATGACTACATTTCATAGCTACAGGGAAGAATGAAGCAAACTGTGCTGCATGGTATAAACACCTTCTTTGATCGGTAGCCAGATATCATACCTCTTCCAAAGGTGAGGTAAGTTGACAAATGGCTAGCCTATCGTTTTGTATATCCAGGAGAAGTTTGTGTCAGAAAGCAGTTCATAAATAGTTGATACAGATTATCGAATAAGTGATTATTATTATTATATCCTTTAATTCCTAGAGGAACATAGGGCTTCAGCCGCGCGTCTCCATTGCCTTCGGTTTCCTGACAACGTTTTCAATCCGCTATAAGTCTGCCCACATGCTTTCATCTCCTCTTCACATGACCTCCCCCAAGTCACCCCACCACCGAAATGACAACCAATTCGCCGCTTCCTTTTCGGGTTCCACTCGAGCAATGGCTTGTCTAGTGATGTCACTCACTTGATGGTTTCCTCAGAGTATGGCCAGCCAATCCATCTCCATTTCTTCCTGCCTATTTGTTTGACAATCGGTTCCTGGTTGGTTCTCTCCCTGATATCCTTTTTGGTGATCTTTTCTGGCCGGCTGGCCATCTGATCTTGAGTATTGAGCGAAGACAACTGTTGATGAAGGTGTGAAGTTTGTTTGAGATGCTCTTTATGACGCGTTGGCCAAGTCTCTGATCCGTATAGTGAGTAGCACTGACTTACTTCACATTGGAGTCGAAAATCCGGACGTTTACCTCCACACAGACTTGTGAGAGTAATGAAAGCTTGTCTTGCTTTTCCGATCCTCGCTTTGATATCCTCGTCAGTTCCATCGGCCTGTAGTTGAAACGATGCTTCCCAGGTAGGTAGGTAAAAGAGGTTGTTTCTTTCAGGTTCCTCCCATTTATGGTGGCTGATTGTTGTTTGTGTGTTGTTGTTGTTGCTGTTGGTGTTGGCCAGGAATCTTCATAACCTCTGTTTTATCTATGTTCACTTGAATCGAAGTCCTATCTTCTGTGGATTCTTCTTCTGCCAGCTTGTTGCTTTTTACTTGCATATCTTCCAGTTTGTGGGAAATCAGACATATATATGTTATCGGCGAAGTCCAGATCCTCCAAGTTCTATTTTTGTGTGAGTCGATTTTATGCCTGCTTCCTTATCGCCCACCGCTGTCTGTCTCATTATCCAATCTACTGCAATCAGGAAGATCATTGGCGATAGTAGACAGCCAGCTTGTCTCACTCCCGTCCTCACTTCGAAGGCTTCCGTAAGTTTCCCGTTGTGGATTACTTGGAGGCATGCAGCATTGTCGTATAACTGTTGCATGAGATGTTTAATTGTCGATGGCACCCCGTAGTAGCAAAGTAGTTGACAAATCACCTCTCGATCGACGCTGTCTAGTGAAGGCCTTTTAAAAATCGTTGAAGTTGAGTGAGTTAGAGAGGTGACTGCCATTCCAAGCTTTATTCAATGATGATCCGTAGTGTGGCGATTTGATCAAAACATGACTTGTTTCTCCTGAATCCAGCCTGTTCTGGTCGAAGTTTTTCTTCCAGGTTGGCTTGTTCGATTCTCTCCAGGATGATTCAGCTTAGTATTTTGCTTGAGATGGACAGGAGCATGTTTCCGCGCCAGTTCTTGCATTGACTCAAATCTCCTTTCTTTGGTAGTTTGAATAAGTATCCTTTCTTCCAATTCTAGGGTACTTTGCCCTCTTTCCACACCTAATCCAGCAGTGGCGTCATCAACTCTGCTGTTGTCTCTGGGTCTATTTTCAAAGCTTCTGCTGGGATCGA